CCCCAAAACCCCAAAACCCCTCATGTAACTTTTATCCAAATATTGAATCATCAATTGAATTATAAATCTAATTAATCATCAGTTCTTTATAAAATTAGTACAAATAAATCCAATCAAATCAAATCAAGGAAACTGATCTTGGAATTACTATTTTAAATTTCTAGAATTACTCCTATCTCTGAGGTCCTTCTTTTTCTTTTTTCTAATAATAGTTAAATCTTTGCTATTAAACACTTCCTATAGTTGCTATTACTCCTCAATTGTAAGCTCTATTGATTTCATTAATCTTCTATCGAAAGCATTTTAGCGTGTTTGAATGAGAGCTTGTCTTAAAAATTCAGAGTTTATCATTATGTGTTCTAGAATGATCATAATCTTATGAGCTTACTGCTTCGTTTAGTAAATTTCCCTTGAAAAAAGGTATCATTACTCATTAGTATTTAGTTAGTAATACCTTTTAGATAAACTTAATAGTTCTCAATTCTTTAACTATATATCTAATATCTAGTTCTTTATTTATTTTCATCGTTCCATTTCTAAAAAGAATTTCCCTTGCTTAAAACAGTCTGTTATACTTTTTAATGCAACCATTTTTGTGTAGACAAGCATATATAGCATCTCTTACCGAATACTTAAGTTTCAGTCTACTTTTAAATTATGCTACTATCCTTGATATTCTACTTTCAAATGATTAATTATCTTTATCAAATGTCAACAGCTAGGTATCATAGAAGGTTTTATTTTGTAATTTATCGATGGTTACTTCTTAATTTTAGTCATAATTAGTTTTGAATTCCTTACTAATACTTTAGTCTGTAATCTCATCTGTACATTTATGCTCACTTTAGTATTGATAAAGACTTTTGACTAAAGTTGTAAAGTATATTGTTTACTAAAGATAGCTGATATATTACTATTGAGGGTGATGACGAATAAAACACTCATAAATCCACCAGTATTTTACAAAGCATCTATAAAAGTAACTGCTTGTCTGTTTACAGTTTTCACTGTATCACCCATTTATAAAGTAAATGAAACAAATGATGTTTAGCCATCTGTAGTCAATTCTTGAACATTAAAGTAGTCCAATCTTGTTTCAATATATTATTTTTATTATTCCTCTCCATAAAACATAGAGTCCTATAACTTCACCTCATTCTTATTTGATATTTCTAATCTTGCTGAGCAAGAATAAGTATGAGTGGCTTTAATTATAAGTAGGATTCAAAAAATAAGGCTTTAAAGATTTTTTAATGGTGCTCTCGCTAAAATTAACCTGATCAAAATAGGAATTTTATAGCACCACAAATAACTTCAAATTTGCACCTACTCTCAACTATTCCTCTTTAGTCTTACACTTCTTTGTATTATTAGTAGTAATGTCAAGATAGGTTTGATTGCAAGGGAATACTGCTATTTAAACCTATTGAGCTAGTCTTGCAGAATAACTGCTTTATAGTTAGAAATCAATCTTTTTTGGACATTGGTAAGTTTTAATAATTTTCAAATAGTCAATACTGTTTTCTTATAACCCTAGCCTTCCATATTTGCAATTTTCAGTTTCTAATCTGTTCCTTACTTTCAATTAAATGCTTCTCTCATTTTCTATCACCCATGGGTATTAATTCTAACTAAGTTAAACATAAGCATACTGCTCCAAATTTTCTTATACTTCAGGTTCGGTCTTTAGAAAACTATATTCCACTTTAAAAGCTATATCGAATTCATCCTGATTCAGCTTATAAATCATATCTTCTCACGATAAATCTAATCTGTGCTATGATGACTGGATTATAGTTTTTCTCTTCAGTACATCTGCACACTAATATAGGAGGTAGATAAAAACTCCAGTGCGCATTAGGACTGTAGCGAATCCTCCAATGAATGATTTTATATGAGGCTCATTTTTATAAGTTAAAGAGACTGGTATACCAAATACATCCATGCTTTTGACTGTTTTCTGCAGTCTTTGTCCAAAATTCCTATGAGATTTTCTTTGCATTTTTAGCCCTATAAATTTAATTATGGATTATTATATAACTTCAAAATTACTATTAAAATTTCTCTTTCGGGGTTTTGGGGTTTTGGGG